TTCAAATGGACTCAGTCTCTCACCAGCTGTATGAACTCAGTGCTGTACCTGCACTGAGCCTCATTTTCCTCCTCTAGAAAAAGAATAGTAAGTATCTCTTTTGCATGGTCATTGTCAGTACTAATTGGAATTACGTACATGAAAGAGCACTGTTTTCATAGCAAGGCAACAAGAAGCAGCGGCATGACATCACCTGTGCTGAGCACAGCACAGTACACCTGCTCTTCCTAGCTGTGCCACAGACTATTCGAATGACTTGGAGCAAACACTGTCACCCCTGTGCCACTTTTGTTCTTGTATAGAAAAAAAATGACTAGAAAGCATTTCATCTACCACTTTGCTCCAACATCATGACTGTTCATTCTCAAAATAACACTGCCCCAAGTTCCAGGATGTCAGGAAATGTTGTTTCTTTTCTTCACTGTTTTAACCCCAGTACCTAGAAGAGAAACAGGCATGTACCAACTGCCCAAACCATATCTGTTGAATGAATAGATGCAGCAAAATGCATTAAAGTAAACTTTGTTGTAACATAGTACTTCTAGATATGTCCAGAATGAAAAAAGAGGGGAGTTCAACTCATTGAACTACATAGTAGTTCAACTTACTACTATAAGAGAGACACACACACAGAGAAACACTATCTTGTACACTGCAGCTAAAACACACATACTGAAGCTCAAATTCAAAGGATGTGTCCTCACTCAGGTGAAGTAGTCTAAAACAACGACAGCAGCAATAACAAAACAAAAACAGAAAGAAACCATCTCAGCATGTAACACTAAGTGAAGAGTTTTAAAAATAATATCTGTACTGAAACAAAAGAAAATCTGGATGCGTGTGAAATAGTAAAAATTGACTCCACAAAATGCCAACATTACAGACTGGCAACTTAAATGAGTGAAGAGTATCAAGTGGAAATTGAGTCAAATGGGAGAAATCGCTTACTCTCTTAAAAAAAGCAACAGCCTTACTACTCAGTTTTTGGCTGTGGAGATCATAAAAGGCTGCTGAGCTGGATATTCATTTTCTATGAAATCTCCCAACCTTTACATGCTGACAGTGAATTCATGTAAACACTCCTATAGATTAAAACAAACTGGTGGGCAGCTCTCTTAGTATGAAGAGAATAGAAAGGCAATGCAAAGCCGAAGAAGGGGTGTTTCCTGAGAGCCAACACTGTGCCAAGCTCCACTCTCAGTCTGACTCATTTAATCTTATACACAAATATAGCTATAATTTATGATCCATTCCATAAATAAAACAAAATAAAATAAGTTATACTTCCAATAAATACTTATTGAAGTTCTATTACATGCCAGGAACTGAGCCAAGTTTTAGAACACTGTCTGCTGGTTGGCATGAGGCAGCTACGAGAAGTTAGGAGCTTACAAGCACAGAAAGTGTCACAGGTACAGTGACTGTTTCTAAGACGGGTGTGGAACATGTACATGGCTGCAAGGGATGCCTAAGTGTTTCTCCTAAGTACTTGCCCAACTTTTAAGCCCAAATTGGGGTGATGATTTTTATTGATATAGGAAATAAAATCAGTAGATGAGTGGATAAAACAGCTATGGGATATTTACACAATGTAATACTACTTATCCATAAAAAAAGAAGAAAATCTTACCCTTTGTGACAATATGGATGGACCTGGAAAACATTACGCTAAGTGAAATAAGCCACTCAGAGAAAGGTAATCACCATATGATATCACTTATCTGTGGAATCTAATGAACAAACTGAGCTAACACCAAAGCAAAGACAGGAGGCTCACAGAGAGCAGATGACAGCTAATGGTGGGAGGAAGGTGAGGGGATGGAAAGATCAGGGAAAAAGGAAAAAGGACTCATGGACAACAGTGTGGGTATTATGGCGGGCAGGGGTATAAGGGGGTCAAGTGATAATGGAAAACATACAATAACATTTTAAAAATAAAAATAAAAAACATTAAAGGAAATAAAACATTCATTCTTAAGGACTAAAGTTCAGGAAGATTTCTGAAAATAGCATTTACTTCTTTACTTGGTGTAATAAAAGCTTTTCTACTGGGAGAGCTCTGAGTCAGATTAAATCAAGGCAGCTTTACAAGAGCAGTCTTCCTGGGAGTCATCAGATTAAATAATGACAAATTTCTGGAATAAAGTTTTAAAAATTCTCCTACCCTACTCTGCCCCTTCCAGTGCCTGCTAGGCTACTAGTTTTTGCCATGGAGGCAGGTTTTTGGTTTGTCAAAGTTACCTGAGAGCTGAAAAGCCAGAAAGAGCATAGGGCACCTCAAAATGCCACAAAGCTTGCTGTTCTAACATGGTTCAATCATTTTTTAAAAATAAATGTTGATGGATGGTTCCAAGACTTCGCTTAATTTTTATCATTCTGAAAAATTGATTCTTACATGTTTTCTAGTGTTTTAATATCTTTTCTGGAGGAGAAAAGTTTAGAAGACCTTATTCCACATTTTTTGCTGACATCACATTACTCTGTTGACCTCTCTATATAGTTGACCTAGAATTAGGTTGCTTACCCAATCATAATGGCACAGTCTGATAACAACTTATTAAATGTACATATACTTCTTTTAGAATTACTTTTACTTTGTATGCTCATTTTCTTTAAACTATAGTTTTAAAAATTCCTTCATTTTGCAATTGCGTTACATAACAAAATATAACACCTGGGTTTCACACACATTCCACATATGTAAACAAGTGCACTTGCACTCAGTTTCTCTAAATCAGTTTCTTCTTTTCTGAATGGTAACATCAGGCATAGCTATATCAAATGAAACATCACTAAAAATATTACAAGAATTAAAAAAAATGTAAAAATCTGAGCAAAATACTAACTGAAACCAGATACTAAAAACTGAACATTTTGCTAATAATTATAATACAAAGAAAAAGAAAGCATAAAATTGTTAGAATGATTGGAGAGCATTGTTGATACAAAGAGATTATAAATGTTTAAATAAATCAGTTGGGCTTTGTACAGAAACCATGTACAAAACTGAATAATTTCCCCCAACATTTCTAGCTGCCAGAGCCAGGGCAACACCAGATTTTCCCCCATAGTTAAACTCTGTCAACATTTTTCTGAGTAACTTTAGAATGGAAACCAGAGAACACAAAACTAGACTCAAAAAGAACATGACATATTCTCTCGGAATTTTCAAAATTTAATTCCAACGCAGCGTATCAGCCATATTCTCAGAAAGGGCAACTTAAAATATTTATGTGATAAATCATTTTCAGTTTGTGGTAAAAACAGAGAGTACAAAATATATTTACAGGTCCTCAGTCACAGATGTTAGACAGCTCTCTACCTATATAGTGATGGTGACAGATGAAAGAAAAAGCGGGGGTGGGGTGAGAAAGACGGGGAGAGGAGCACAGGAAAGGGGAAAGAACGACAGACCAGGCGAACATACAACTTGTGTTGGCCCAGCCATATCTGAGTAGGACAGTTTTCCATTTGGCTTCTCTCATGTTCTAACGTCTTCAATTTATTTATATTGTATCTCTAAATGCAGTTATAAATTTTAACAACTAAAAAGAAACACCAAATAAATTGAAAAAGAGAAAGCACACTGAGGTCAGGATATTGACATATAAATTATTATAAATTACAACAATTACTACTACTAACTCACTTCTGAAATAATAACTTTTTTAGTAAGGGACTGATAAACACACCTGGCTTAATCATCAAATAGAAGAAATTAAAAATTTGGCTATTTGGGTTGTTAATACCAGATTTGTAATCATATTAGCTACTTAAAAAAAACTAAACTTAACCCTCAAAATTATACAAAATATTATTAGTATATATAATTTTCTAAATTGCATATTTTTATTTTTTAACATTTCATTTTTATTGTATTTTTATCACTACCCATTGTCCCCTCATACTGTCTTCCACCTCCACCCACCCCTGCTGCCCACAGTCACCACGCTGTTGACAATGTCCATGAATTCTTTCCCCCTTAAAGTTAAATATTCAACCTATTTTTTCTTAAAATGGAGGGTTAAAAATATTTTTGTTTTTCTCGCAAAGTAGTTGGTTATTAATTTGGGTAATCTTAGCTTAAACATAATAGTGAAATATTAGCCCTGGCAGGTGTAGCTCAGTGGATTGAATGTGGGCTGTGAACCAAAGGGTCCCCTGTTCAATTCTTGGTCAGGGCACACGCCTGGGTTGCAGGCTAGGTCCCTGGTAGGGGGTGTGCGAGAGGCAAGCACCCACTGATGTTTCTCTTCCTTTCTTTCTCCTTCCCTTTCTCTCTCTCTAAAAGTAAATGAATAATAAATTTATGACTTATAAAATGCAATTTACATAATTTTCACCAAAAATATTTATTTTAATATGCACCAGTAAAGTAATTTACTAACAAAAAAGTTGCTGACTGTAGAAATGTTCCAATGAACATTTTTTTCTGAAACTGAAAAAAAATTCAAAAACTGAAAAAAAACTTTGAGTGATGACTGATTTGGTAATCTGAGAAACTTTTAATCTCAATGGAATTTAAAGGAATTTCTTACAATATTTTCATTCTCTAATTTAGTAAAGAAATACAAAATAAATTTGCCCCAGTGTTTGAATTGACACTGGTCATTGATACTTGACCTTTATTTCCTAATTAATATAACCAGGATAAGGGCAAACAGGCAGCAGTTTTTTAAATTTTGTTTTAAGATAAACTCATTCTATAAGTTTGTTGGTTTCTTCAATCTAAAATGCTCCTGAATATCGAAGGTGACTTCACAATTCTTTATGGACGAATACTCAGAGAGAAGAAATCACATGTTTGTTATACAGTCATTGAACCCCCTTCCTGCTTTTCCCAATCAGAGCTAATTTGTAACCCCACCGTCCCCCTCACACACACACCCCTGTGCTGTTCATGACAAATCTGTCCAAGGCATTGTCAACCACACGTGGCATTTAACCCAATGTATATTCAGGTCGCTTAAGTTGAAGGGAAAATGTTATAAAAGGCTTACCCCATTTTTCGGAAAAGCAATCCATCCCAGGTCCCCCATGACGGTACGTGAATCCAATAAATTCACTGAAAGAGAAAGAACACAAAACAGTCAAATGCACAAAATACATAACTATTTCCAGAGTGTTAGTAAAAGTGCACATTGCTACATAACTGAAATTAGATTAAGCATTCATTGTGATGCATACAAGAGTTATAATCAAAGAAAATATTTTGATGTAGGAGAACAAGTGATTTTGAATTAACATTTAGAGAAAATTATATAAACAAGTCATTACCCTAAGTGCTTTTTTCATCAAACAGCAATAAAGAAGAAGAATTAAAAAAAAAAAAGAAAATGTGAAAAATCCACAGAAAACAGTAAGGACCATGCAGCTTTTTTTCAGGCGCTAGGCCTTGGGATTAGCTGCTGCCATAAAAGTGTGACTGAGTGTATTGTATTTTCTTCCGGAAGCTGTTATGAAGCAATTAACAAATAATTTACATTAAACAGCAATAAAGTATACCCAAGCTTGTAACATTTTTGTGATATTAACTGAAATCTGTAATCCAAATTGCAAGTTTAATTAAGAAATAAATCTGTACACCCTTAACCAAGTTAAGGATATTGTAGCAGTTCTCAAGGTTGATGTTACAGTTATGCGTCCATTGCATTTCCAAAATATATTGTACTTAGATGTAATCTTGAATGTGCTACTTACAGAACTATCAGCTACATTTTTGAAAGGCAGGCATCAATTATAGCTCTATAGCTTAAAGCAGCTGGAACTCCCAGGGTGGAAGTCTGATTATTATCATTGCAAAAGGAAGCCACATAGTATATACACACATGTGCAGCACATCCCACACATTCACCATGTTTATATTTGAAGAAATTTACCTACTGCCCCCCTCAAGTTAAACTACCTGAAAGTGTATGGTGTTGTCAAAATGCTTTAGAGCTGGACCACAAACCATTATCTTTCCAACCTATTATGAATAACCCAAATAGATCTACTTGGCCCACTCTGCAACTGAAGCACTAAGTGAGCATGGCATGTGGACCCAAAAGGAAGAAAACTAGGTTATCTCCAGTCAGAGGTATGAAGTTTCCTAAACTAAATTCAAGAGCCAGTATCATGAAATGCCAGCATTTAAAAAAAAGTGATTCTATGTGCAAGTTAAGCCTGGCTGCTAAAGGGTTAACAACTAGGCTGAGAAACTTGTTATAATATTTCTGTAAGAAAATGTAAAACAGAATTACTATAACCTAGAAAATCAAGATCATAATTCAAACAAAAATGTTCTACAACTGTAGAAATTATGTGCATTTAACCTTTATTTCCCATCATTTTCTTTCTTATAACATCAAACCTACCTACACATTAATAGTTTATATTAGTAACATAAAGATAGATAAAACATTTTAAATTGTTATAAAACAGAAATATACCCCCTACGTACACACACATATGTACATAATATACATGTGTGTTCAGTACACTGGTCTATGTCCCTCAAATTCTGAGCTTTTTAACTAGAAAAGCACATACTTATGGAATGGCTGTGTCATCTTCATCTTTGTCCTGCACACATCGCCTTGGCCTTAGGGAATAATACAATAAATAATTTGTGAAATTACTTTTAAAGGAAATTGACCTACTGAAAAACTGTTGTTTAAAATGAAAAAAAAATATGTTTCCCTACCCAAGGACCTTGCAGGTCTGTCAGTCACTCTACTAAATCTAGTATTTCACTAAGATCCATTGTCTTTCCTTTTTACTCTATTGTTGGCTTTTCTGGTTTCCAGGGGAATGAGGCTACATTAAACTTAAATGTCCTTGTCCTCGTTTTAGCTTTTCTGGGACACTTAGGTATGTGTCTAGACATGACGAAATGCCAGGGGAGTGCAGAACCTAAGTCAGTATGTTTATTCATCTTTATGACTCACTTTCTTCACCTTCGGTACTGAGCAGCAGCCTATCTGCGTAGACCAGGTGAAACAGAACAGATCAGCAAACTAAAGACCTGCCATTACGATGGCAGACAAACTGAACTTAGTCCTGCGGTGCCCAGCTGATGTGTGCAGGAAGTCTAGGAATCGCTAAACAGCCTGTCATGACCTTTAAAGAATGTGTGGATCCTGAAATACTCATTTTTACCAACAGAATTCGAGATATCTTTCCCAAGTTTCATTACCCTCACTTAAATTAACTTTAATCTAAATTACTGTTTTGACCCTTTTGGGGCCTAAAATATATGTGTGTATGAAAGTAAATGAATGAACTCAAACCACTAGCTTGGTTGTTAATACAATTTAACACAAATTTTCAGTATTTGGAATACATTATTAAATGCATAAAAATAGCCATGATAGGAACATGTATTATCTCTGATGTGATGATTTTGTCCAAAATCATCAGATAAATACAGCAGGAGATTTACAGGAAATATATGTGTGTCACTTCTCATGCCTGTCTAAAATTGCTTTCCTATTCTAAATAGATTTCATATAATTCACAGTGCAAAGAAGATATTTATACCATTACTAAACTGAAAATTGAGAAAAAAGGGCAATTAGATGTTGTAGGCAATGACTTGCAGATTACTATATTATAATTTTGTTCATATAATGTAGAGCAAATTGAGATTTGATAGGGAAAATAACTAAAATTACATATATATCTACTATATATCGATATATTACCATATGATTTATATATAGATCTCCATATCCATATATATACATACATATATATGCTATATATGTGAGTAAGCTTTCTTATACCTCCAAGTTTAACACGTGGTCTTTTAGCTCTCACAAATGCTCTTCACCTTTTCTGAATTGGTAACTCTTCATTTGTCCTACAAAACATATTTCAGAAACTACTTTCTCCAAGAAGCCATCTCTGATCCTCCCTTTCCTATACTGAGGTAAGGTGTCATTGCTGAATATTCAATTAGCACCCAATCTTTATCTCCAAAACACTGAATATAGAGAATTGTATTGTTTCCTGAAAAGAACACTATGTTTGACTCATACCTATGAACTTAGCCTGTGCTCAGAACAGCTGAATACCTGTTTTTCTTATAAATGAATCATTTGGTCAGTGGACACATAAGGAGGGTGTGTACATGAGTGCATACAAGTGGTCATGCACCTAAAACTAAAATAATGTTGTATGTCAACTATAATAACATTTTTTAAAAACCTGAAGGATGGCTTCTCATGGGAAGAAGCCAGGCATACAGCTAAGCACCCCTGGATGCACAGCAAAACTTTGCCCACTCCCAGGAAAAACGATCTAGCTCAAAGGTTCCTAGTGCCAAAGTTGAGACACCCTGGCATGAAAGCCTATGGTTCTACTAGAAAATCTCTACCTTCACAGATTTTTGTAAGACACATTGGCATTGTGATCTTCATTATCAGAACTTAACATATTTGAAGGAATTCCATATGAATCAAAATATTACTCCAATTTAAGGAAATAAAAGTACTAAATATTGAAGTCTCATTTAGAAAAAAAAAACAGAGTATTGTTGTAACCCAACCCCTGAACATTTTTCCCACATAATCATGTAGCTGTTCTCATTTATGTTCTGATAATGTTTCAACATGTATGACAGCATGCATGAAGAAGCACTAGGTCTCTGATATTATTCCCTCCCTTCCCCCCACTACTTAAGCTAGTACATAAAACCAGAAGTTTAGGGTCCATCTGAATGTGAATTTTCAGAAGTTGATTTCCCAGTATTACTACCAAATTCATTTGTTTACTTTTATAGTCTTATTGAATTTATTGGTTAAAATTATAGAGGTTTCAGGTGTACAATTATATAATTCATCATCTGTATATTATATTGTGTGTTTATCACCGTCTCCTTCTATCACCATTAATCTCCCACTTACCCTCTTCTACTTCCCGACTCCTAGCTTTCCCTCTAGTAGTCATCATACTGTTGTCTGTGTCTGAGTACTTTTTTTCTTTGCTTAAACCCCATTGCTTTTTTATTCAACCCCCAATTCTCCTTCCCACTGAACAGACTCAGTTCTCTCTAAGTCTGTTTCTATCTGTCTGTTAGTTTATTTAGTTCATTACATTCTACATCTAAGTGAAATCATATACTTGTCTTTTTCTGACTATCATATTTCAATTAGCATGATACTCTCCAGGTCCATCCTTGCTGTCACAAAAGATACGATTTCCTTCTTTTTTATAGCTGAGTAGTATTCCATTGTGTAAATGTACCATAACTTTTTTCATCCACTTATCTACTGATGGGCACTAGGTCTGTTTCCTAAACTTGGCTCTTACAAATAGGGCTTTAATGAACACAGAGGTACATATATTCTTTCAAATTAGTGTTTCAGGTCTCTTTGAGTATATTCTCAGAAGTGGAATTGCTGGATCATAAGGAAATTCCATTTTTAATTTCTTGAGAAAACTCCATACTGCTTCCCACAATGGCTGTACCAATATGCATACCCACCAACAGCGCATGAGGCTTTCCCTTTTCTCCACATTCTTACCAACAGTTCTTGTTTGTTGATTTATTGATGACAGCCATTCTGACAGGTGTGAGGTGATATCTCATTGTGATTTTAATTTGTATTTCTCTGATGATTAGTGACACTGACCATCTTTTCATATGTTTATTGGCTACATTAAACTAAATGTTTTTCACAGCCAAGGAAACCATCAACATAATGAAAGACAACTCACTGAATGGGAGAATATATTTTCCAATGATACATCTGATAGGAGGTTAATATTCAAACTTTATAAAGAACTTCAAAAACTCAACAAAAAAAAATCCATCTTTAATCTGGCTATTGTGGCTCAGTGAATTGAGTGCCAGCCTGTGAATCTAAAGGCCCTAGATTCCCAGCCAGGGCACATGCCTGTGTTGCAGACCAGGTATTACGAGGGCATGTGAAAGGCAACTGATAGATGTATCTCTCACCCATCCTTGTTTCTCTTCCTCTCTCTCTCTCCCTTCCCCTCTTTCTAAAAATAAATAAATAAAATCTTTAAAAAATGGGCAAAGGACCCGAAGAGACACTTTTCCAAAGAGAACATACACAT